GAGTTTTTACCAACTTGGCCATTTCTAGAAGAACTGTGTAGAACTGTAGGAAAACGATGTGACAACAGAACAATTTCAGAAACAATTCAAATGTTTTCTGAACCAAATCTATCTACCAAACCTAACTGATGACAATTAGATAAGAATGTCAAACAAAAAAACTGTAGACACAAAATGAGATCCTGGAAAATAATAGAAAGATGTCTGCCTCTACACCTCACATCTCAGGGGTTGTGAATCAAAATATAAAGTGTTCTATAAATCGTCACATGTTGCTACGTGATCCAGATCTGGACCAAAACATTTTCATTTTCATTGTCATTCCTCGGCCTGTAGAAACAACAGGCAAAAAAACAAAGAAATATTCAGAGAAAAGAACATAACATGATTGGTGGATATCATTTAAGAAAAAGAAATTGAATTAATTAAAATAAAACAGATAAAATGAAGAAATTAAATAAATTAAATTCAAAATCTATTTACATTATATAAATTATAAAACCTTTTACCACATATTCCTTGTGAATAACAATGGAAAACTGCTTTTTATAGTGAACAATTAATGTGATTCCCATAGAGATTCACAACTTGTGATGTAGATGCCACCTGTGCTGTGAATGGTTTGTCGGGACAAGCGAGTGTTTAATACAGTGATGGACTGCTGTTGTTATGACTCATACATTGTCTTGACTGTTCTGAACCTGCAGGTTTACCATCCACCCGTCATCAGGACTCATCTCCACGCAGCCCTGGACCACCCTGGACGCAGAGGTCAGGTCTAAATACAACTTTTACGTCAAGGCTGAAGATTCAGAGGGGAAGTACAGCTTGGCTGAAGCCTTTGTCACCGTCCTCGACATGAATGACCACCCTCCAGAATTTGATGAAAAACTCCTGGAAAAGACCATGATTATTGGTACACCTGTCAGAGTAGAGGTATATAATGTTCAATGTTTTCCCCCATTGTTTTAAGAAATATATTTTTAAATAATTAAATGAAAAGACTTCCTGTTTTTGGCATTTAGAGTACAATTGTAAACAACAGTTTAGGAAATTTAGGAAAAAACATTTTTAACGTTTTATATCTTCATTAGGAACAATTGTTCTCTGGGTTAGTGCCACAGACAGTGTACGGCAGATACAAATACAAATAATAATCAGTGTATTGTATAGTGTAACATGCCATAATTGTAATGTGAAATATAGACAATGAAGACAACACACCATTTAATTTACAAAGCAAATATTAGTTGGTAGTCCAGTATGCAGGTTATTAAAATGATAAAGATATGCAACCTTTTTATCTTATTCTGCTACTTTCTACAGGCAGTGGATGAAGATGCAGAGTCTCCAAACAATGTCATTGAGTACTCCATCATGACAGCCGATCCTGACAATGCATTTGATATCAACGCCGACACTGGGGAGATCAAGCTGAAGCCGTACATCAAGTCCATGGAGATTGTGCAGAACATCACCAAGCAGAAGGACTGCAAGTGGTCTCTGGTGGTCCAAGCCAGGGACAGAGGCTCTCCATCCTTCAGCACGACAACCGTGGTCAATATCGATATCACCGAGGCGGTAAGACCTGCTATATCTTGCAGCATGCTCGCAGTGCTTTTCTATTCCAAGCCTGAGCTTTAGGCTGCACAAGCTGTAGATTTAAGCTGTTAGACATATGGTAAAAGGCATTGTTGTCATGCTACACGGCTGCTAGTTCAACATCCTTGTTTCAGCCAGTCACATTTCATTGCCCTCATCTTCTTCAAAGGATAATGCTGGTCCTTTTTATGCCTTTATTATCATCGACAAGTCCCACAAAGACACTAACACCAATGATGAATTTATCATAGATCTGTTTATCACAGATCAGAGCTATAATGAGAACAGTTCTTGCGTTGCCAGGTTGTGAAAAATACCCTTGGAAAACCTGGTTTCAACTTATTTGAATTTCTCTATAAAAGTTAAAGTTTTGGAGAAAAAAGAAAACATCCATATGTATTATTTAAAGAGTTTCACTCAAGAAAACAACCAGTGTGTATTGCTACATTCTGATTGGTGCCTAGGAAAATACCTTGTGTTAAATAACCAAACAGAACCGAAAATTGTGTTGTTTTTAAGTTGGACCACATTGCTCACGTTAAGAAACTGATTGAGAAAATAGGTTTCATGGGGCCTTTAACTTTTCGGTTTCATAATAATGCAGTTAGAATTGTTTGTTTGTAATAAATATTCATCAGTTTTTCAGTTTCTAATAGTCATCTAGTTTGCTGCTATTAATTAATGAGTTAATAAGTCATTGATAAAGAGTTTCTAATCCATCAAGACTGTAATTTGGCAACCAAAAGGTTATTCTTATTAATGGCTTATAACTGATCTATAAAACATTAGTAAAGAATTTATTAACCACACAAAAATACATTACCAAAAAAAAAAACATACAAACCCTTTATAAATTATGCTTTATAAGAAAATCATACTCTCAGAGGAATAAGCCTGTGGCTACACAGATAATACTTTACTACGTTATTTACTTTATACTGTTTTTTGTTTTTTCAGTAAATTTGAAGAGCAGCATAATCCTTTAAAAGTCTTCAGTCATTGACATTAAACCATATTCTTTTGATTTTCTATGTCTTCACCATGTATTCATTCCTTCACACTACATGATGAGATGACTCCGTGTTTTTGGTGTTGTTTCTGTCTTGTGTATCGTGCATTGCAGGTCAAAGGTCGAATTATTTCATACTTCATGGGCCTCAGCAAGCGTCCGCTGACTGTTTTTGGAATTTTTCTCAGCATTGTTACTTCCCTCATTTTACTTACAATCTGCATATCCACAATCCTGTACTGCAACGCAGTGAAAAAGTCCAGAATCAACCCTGAGAGTAACTATATTAAAGTGGTCCGCAGAATCAAGTGAGAAATATTTGAATCCCTGTACATTATTCATTCATAACCTGTAAAAAGGTATCTATTTTTTACTGGTTAGCGATTGTCTGTAAAAGAGTCCTGGAGCACACTAGAAGGAATATTATAACAATATAATAGAAGTTTTTTTCTATTTTTCTTTTTCCATTTTTTATTGGAAAACATGCAATATTTTTCTAATAATGTACTTAGACTTTTTACACCACCACCAAAACCCCATCTTTGATCATCTAAAATACTTTTATTCCTAGAGCATGATGGAGCCTTTTACATTGGATTTAAACCTGGATTTGCTCACGTAATCTCCATTTTTCTCACACAAACATGCACTTCACTCCATTTTGGTCTCATCGTTCTTGTTCAACCCTCATCATGCCAAAGAGAAATCCTAATGCACCGCACTGCCAGACGCATTCCCAACAACTAGTGTTGTGCATAGTTCTTAGCTTTGCATCAGCAGTCCTGTACTGTAGGACAGAGGAAGACGGATGACAGAGTGTGAGTGTGAGTGTCACATTGTTGGTAGATATGTTGTTTGGGCCTCCTCTGTCAGTGCTTTGCGCATTCATCTCTCATGCTTGCATGCTTTGAACAAATGCTGCGTTAAGGCTTAGATTCAGCCCTTTGGACTTGATTTAAACTATTTTATTTGTGCTCTTTTACAGACTCCTCTCAAGGGGCCTATGGCGGCCTTTTTATTGAAAAGTAGGGACAATCCTATGAAAGCTCTAGCCATGGTCACTGTTATTATTAGCGTATTGGTAGGGGTGACAGTCTTGATCTCTACGGCTCTGTACATGCGTAACTCAAAGTCAAACAGGATCATGCCGGCACGTCGCATCATTAAGAGGCGACCCAGGGACCAGCCGCCCTGGACCTTTAGGATGCCCACTATTACATTCAACGACCCTGCAGAAAAGTTCCTCATCGACAACCCAGAGAGTGGCAGGCAGCGGACCAGCAGCCCTCGGCCAAAGCCTCCACCCCCCAGCGCTCCTAGTCTACCCCCTCCACCCCCGTCTAACACACGCCCCAGTGAGAGGCCCCGTGCTGTCCCAACAATATCTGGCGCGCTGGCCTCCAAAGGCTCCAAGAAAGCTAAATCTAGTCGCCGCAAAGAGGGAAATATGAGCTCTGCTTTAGTGTCAGAGCTAAAAATGAAGCTGGAGCAGAAAATCATTGAGAGCAACCAAGGTTATTATTAAATCTGTCACACAAACATCTTGTTTGAGATTCCCCGGTCCATTCTTTGACGGCTCATCTACTGTCCAAGAGTTGTCACCTGAGCTTCATGTGATGATCTGGTAGGATGGGCCTGCCTTTAGATTATACATAAGTAAACGGTATGAGGGGTATAACACGAAGGTTTACAGATATTTATGTCTTAAGATGATATATTAAACAAGTGGGCTTCACTGCATCCTCGGTTGACCCAGCTTAGGTAAAGAGAGGAGAGAGCTCTACTCTGTCACTGGTGCAGTCGGAGATAATTCCCACACTGCCATCTTGAGGAAGATTACATCATCTTAACAGTAAGAAGCACCACTGTAAATTGTCTAGAGAGATGGTTACTAAGACTTACTGTGTATACATAAGTTACATAACTTCCTGAAAAGTGTAATGTTCACGACCTTGTAATGTTTTCAACACAAAGCTAGGATTTCACCCAATAAATCCTACTAAAAAAATATTTCTTCTTGCTCACTGGAGCATGCAGCTGAATGACATGGTGATGAAAAACAACACTGCTTAAGTGCTAAAGGACCTGTGTGTTAATATTTTTACTGTGTTACATCAGCCGCTTGAAAGCTGACAAGTTGCTCTTTTGTATGATTACAATGTGCCACTGTAGGTTTTCACAGTAACATGAGCAAACAGAGTTGCTTTTATTTATTTGAGTGTGTAATTCTAGAAAATGCTTTTATATAAATAACATGGATCCATTTTAAATGTACAGCATTATATTATTTTCATTCTTTTTCAGTATACATATATGACAAGATATGAACATTTCCAAGTTGTATCTTGCAGCAGTAAATAACAAAGTACAAATTAAACCATCTAACACCACTAGTCAGACATTGTTGGTACAAATTCTTAGTCATATGCTTAAGATTTTCAAGTACAGATCAGTATGTATATAACTTGCTTGGACATTTCCTTTATAGATATAGAGTCTGTGTCGAACTTTTAGAGTCCACACACACGTTACTTTCCATGTTACTCTTCAATGCCTTCAAATGTAGGCAAATAAAATTTGAGTAATTTAATTGCTGTAATACATATCTTGTATCTGACTATATCTTAACTTATAACTATCTTAAATAAGTTGAGGTAAACTATATATCTTAACTATAAATTACACTTGCCTGGTCCTTCGAAGTAACATATTTGTACCGTCTTTGTACTGTCTTGATTTTGAATAAATATTTGAAAATAATTTGGTCTGTTCTCCATTTTGTCCAGAGGCTAATATTAGGTCAATTTGAAATTGATATGTGTTATGTGGTGGAAACTAATAACTATAAAGTAAGTACATTTACTCAAGTACCGTACTTAAGTACAATTTTGAGGTATTTATGCTTTACTTGAATATTTGTAATTTATGTTACTTTGTACTTCTCATCCACTACATTTGAAAGGGGAAATATTGAATTTCCTAAATTATTTCCTAATTATTCAATGTTCCTACCCAGTTAAACTACCTGGAGTAAACTACCTAACTGTATATTAAGTAGTTAAAAACAGCTCCATCTCGGCCAGCAGAAAATGCTGTTTACATTTTGCAGATAACATGTACTTTTACTTAAATATGATTGTACTTCTTCCACCACTGAAGAAAAAAACCTTACTTATTCATATATTTTATATATTTAACGATAATAAACACCTTTTCATTTATCTGTTAAAAAATCTAAAATTATACAATATTAATGGATGCAGTGACTCCACTGTCAGTGTGAACTGACTAAACATATTTTTTTTTAACACAAAGTCAGATTTTTATCAGATTCAAGAATATGTTTAAGTGTTATGTTCACATTTGCCTGCACAACTGACAGTGAGCTCAGAACTGTCATTAAATGGAAATATCATGTCCTGCTGACTAGGATTCGGATAGAAAATCACTTTAATCTGCTTACGAGTGTATGTATAAATGCACGGGAAAACGCTGCTTATGTAACAAATCCTCTGAGTGATTGTGCTAAAAAATCAGAGTATGTCTTAGCATTCGTCTTTGACTCCCCTTTAATCCACATCAAACATAATTTTATTCCATTACAAGACAGCAAAGCTGCATCTGTAAAAAGAAAAAACAATAAAAACCAAAACATTTTTTTCCAACATAAAATGGATTAAAATCTCCTGAACCACGAACCAACAAACAATTCACTTGATTATAATGTAGTTTTCTTATAACAATAAAAACATGCAAAACATAAAAAAAAATAACAGATCCAAAGAAATATCAAATGCATTTTAGCAAAAACGTGTTTTTACATGTATATAAACAGATTATAAGAAACTCTCCTTATAATAAGGAAGAAAGGCATCTCCACTTGGAGCTGATAGCTTAAGATATATATTTACAGGATGACTATATACTCAAAATAGCCTTGGTTTGTGCCTCTCATGTATTCATATTAAATTTGAGTCACAGAGCTATAGTACAATAAACTTTTCTAAAAATAAATACCCCAGGATCATTTAACAAAATGTATTGTTGCTCTGAAGGTATTTCCAGGATGAAAAAATATTCTATTTGCTGTACTATTATTACTCTTAATCCAAACAAAGATGGTGGCCGGAAATTATATCTGTCCTTGCTCAATGTGTACAATGAACCCAATTTAAAAAAATGTTATTATCACGTATGTATTGATATTACTTAAACAATGGAGTTATTATTGTGCAGCAGATATAGTATTTTTTCATCCAGGTGGTTATATACCTTCATAACAGCGATACATTTTGTTTAATGACCATCAGGTTTTCGGGTATTTATTTTTTAAAAGATTGGACACTAAGCACTGTGACCGTAACGTAATTATAATACATGACAAGCCCAAGCTGAGTCTACACTCAAAACTGAAATTATTTACAAATACACAAGTATGTACATTTCTTGACATTGATGCTAGTACAAATAAGCGGCACTTCCTCCTTTGCTCCTATCCTCTGACTTTCGCCTCTTTTTCGGCTTTTCCTCCGAGTCCCTGTACAGGTCTTCATCACTGGCCGCCTGCAGGCTGTCAAAGGTGCCCTGCCTCTCCGACCCCTGCAGGTTCTCTCCGTGCAGCCTGCGCTTCTTCCATAGATCTATGCACCGATCCACACAGTTGAACTTGGCCTCGGTGGTGCAGGCGTACATGCCGGCCGGCACTGCCAGCACCATGGCGCACACAATGACGATAATGTGAATGAGTCTCTCTCTTTGCTCCAGCTCACTGATGTCACTTCCCGTCACAAACACGATGCACTGGCCTTCCCTTGGCGGATGGTTCTTCAGGGTCACACACACCTCGTATTTGGTGACAGGAAGCAGGTCGCTGACAGAGTAGCTGTTGATGCCAGGACCAATGTAGATCATTTCCTTTTTCGGTGAATCGTATTTGCCAAAGTGGATGGTGAACCAGGTTTCTGCTGGGTTGTCCGTTGCTGCATTCCATTCCAGGGTGATACCATAAACTGTCTGCTTAGCGATGCGGATGTCAATGTAGGTGTTCTCATTGGATGACAACATGGGGACAGGTGGATGGAGAGGAGCAGAGGAGTTTGAGGAGCTGATGTTAACCGTGATGCTAACAGAAGAGTTGCTAATGAAGTTGTTGGCCATGCAGGTGTAGATTCCTCGGTCTGCCAGATGAAGAGAAGGGATCACCAGCTGGGAGGTGAAGGTCTCCTCATCTATTTGAGTCTCTGTAGCTGCAAGGAGAACACGGGGTCAGCATATTGCATTAAAATTGGAAGCTTGTTTACATCTGATAAAGCCATGGTAAGAGAACCGTAAAAAGGTTATTGTTCCTGTATATTTCATAAAGCAGATGCAGCCTGAAAGTTCAACATATACCACAATAAGTGCTCCCAGAGCAGGTTCACAACAGTTTAATGGATGGTAGTAATAAAAAAAATCTTACCAGCAAATCCTCTTATAATCTTCAGACTGTACATCCACTGAATGGTTGGGCCTGGCCTGGCCTTGACTAAGCATGTGAGTGTTGCATTTGCTCCGAGAGGTAAAGTGATGTTAGTAGCTGGGGCAGAGGCCACTGGCTTCATGCATGTTTTTAACTGGATCTCGTGGAAAAACTTGTCAGCTTTGGAGGCGGGGCCCACACACATCAAATAAGAGTTCATCAGAATGATGGGAGGGCTGACCGCCCGGATGAATTCAACGAAGCCTTTGAGGCGGCAATCGCACAACCAGGGGTTGTCATGCAGCGCCAGAACCACATTGGAGACCAACCCTTCTTTCCCCCACACTTTCTCTGCTGTTTGGTAAAGAGGCCAATTTATGAAGACATCTTTTGATATGACACTAAGCTGATTGAAGGATAAATCTAAGTAGGTCAGTGCAGGTAAGTGTCTCAGTGCGTGTTCAGGCAGGACGTTCAGTCGATTGTGCTTCAGGTCCAAAATCTTCAGTTTTGGTGTGTTCTGAAACGCCGTCCATGGTACTGAAGTAAGCTTGTTCCCTTGTAGCCTGAGCTCAGTCAGGTTGGCCAGCCCCTCCAGGCTTTTGATGTTCATGAGGGTGATCTCATTGAAATTCAGCCAGAGGAACTCCAAGGCACTAACGTTAGAGAAAGATCCTCGTGGTAACTCAGTCAGGTGACAGTTTTCAATTCGGATTTTAGTGAAATCATGTGGGATGTCCTCTGGGATTTGTTCCATGGGGATTTCCATACAAAGTAAAGACCTAAAATGGTAAGACAAGATATATTTAGACACGAGAAACTAATGGCAAGTGTATATTTTATCTTCACAGCTACTCATGTACATGCACCATTTGCACAAATGTATCAGTTGTGTCTGTCTGTAGGTTTTAGAGCCTTTTGGTTTGCAGGATGCATTTAAAACAAGACGTGTTGTTTAAAACAGGGTTATGGCTAACACATAACCTACTTTTAAGAGTTTGCATAGTTTCAGTGGTCACTTACCTTCCCATGTTCTCATCTGTGCAGGAGCAACCAATCAGACAAGTTGATGATCCAGGGGTGATGAGATAAAATACCAAAGTGATACATAATGTGGCACAAAAGGCATCCATATTCTTGGAGGAGTTTGTGAAATAGGCCTGTGAGGGCAGGACGTGTCCATGGGCTGTGTGGAAGAAAGCCTATTACATTAATCTTGTTTGACGTAACACTTAAGATGCCAAGTGACATGTGAGACACTCATAGGTGAGGTGTATTTATAGCAATGGTCCACTTTGTCTAGAAAACATTGTCCGATCCCCTCAAAAGCATAAAAACACTCACCACAAATGTTGCTCGAACAGGATTAAGTGAGTTCAATGATTGTGTTGTAGTTCTACTTTCAGGTATGACCCCCAACTGCTCTGCTGCATTAGTCTAATTAAATTTATTTGTCCCCCACCAAAGCACAGACATTGACATGACAGGAGTCCCATCTGTAAGTGGGCCGGAGCCCGTCGGGCTTAGCAGCACAGAGAGGGAGGGCTGCAGAGAGACAGAGAGACAGATGTCTGGAGAGGACTGTAATCTGACCTCAATAATCTGAACACTGGTTGTCTCACAGGTTGCTAAAGACCGAATCAGCAATAAAGCAAGTGTGAAAACCGACAACATCTACAGCACTGTAGATTCAATCTTGTCCTTGAATGCCCAAGCATTTTATAGGCGTACATCCTTTAACGAGCAAAGAGATAAATCTGATGTCTGCTAATGAAGGCAATCTCCTGGTCATCGTACAAGTTTTAAATTGAGGATATAGATACTTTTAATTCCTTGGTAGTTTGCTTGTTTGGCAAACATTTGTCAAATTGACAACTGTTTAATAAATACTTTTTAATTACTTTAGTTTCGTCTAGGCTACCTAGATACTAGATACTACGCCTATTTTTCCTGCAGAAAAAAGCAAACTGCCCTTAAGTTGATTTAGCATTTTTACTGACTGAAATATTTGAGGAGAGTTGAATTATGTCACCAAAGTATTACTGATTCTCCGAGGAAGATGCTAGCTGCGCTGTGAGAGGTTCTTTGAGCTAAAGGCTAACATGTTCACAACAGTGATGCTAATATGCATGTTTAGCTGGTATAATGTTTACCATCTTAGTGCATTAGCATACTAACATTTGTGCACATGTGCAGCAGAGGCTGATGGGAATGTAAAAGTCTGGAAAAATCTAAATTTTGAGCTGATGATGGGGCTAGATGAAGCAGTTATCACAATTCACACTGAGGAACACATGAATGTCTGTACCTCCGCTAGCATGGCGAACATAACAGGCTAAATTTCTGCTTCAGTCAAGATGAATATTGATGATATAAGAAAAAAGCTTGAGAACATATAAATATAAAAAATATTTAATTTTTATACAGTACATTCATACATACACATATATTTTAGGTCACAAATATTTACACATTATAAAATGTACAGTATTTTAGGTTTTCGACCCAACAGTAAACCTGGCACATTAACATCATACTGACATACAAAACACACTAATAACTGCTGGTTGACCTAAATACTTTAAATAAAGATTTTAACACAACGCAGAGGTTAAATCTTGGGGGAAATAAAATTGTCAGGGATTTATACAGTTTAGGGCAACATTTCAAGACATTTTCCTCTGCAAAACATAACCTTTAAAAGTGCATGATGAATTAAATAAAAAAAAAGTTATTTTTACACATTTACACCAAATGTAAATATTTAAACCATGTCACTGTGTATATTTTCCCTTTTTTGCTGTCCACCAAATGAATGGTGGTTTTTATTCCCACAAGGCTGTAAAACAATGTCATACATCAAATGCTGCCAGAGCTACCAGTGTTCTCTGAAGACCCCCAAAAGAGGATAATTTGAGTCTCTGAGCACAGTGGTTTATCTACAGTATTCACATCGCAGGCCGTGAGAAACAAAGTGCATCCTCTGCAGGTTGTGGCATAATTGGTTTTAGCAGAAGTACTCGTTAGGTGGCCCCTCAGTCCTGGCTGTGGCCTCTGAGTCAACACTAGACCTCGCTGACAGCAGCCTGTTAGATTCGTCAGGATTTAGCCTGGTCAAATACTCGCCTTCCATCCCTTTAGCTTTGGCCCCAGGGCCAAGGGTCTCAAACGTGACATACGAGTCCTGCATTTCCTTGGACTGCCCTCCCAGCAGTTTTTGGCAGCGCTTCTTTAGCGCCCCGCAGCACACTATCAGTGTCAGGGGGACAGCAATCACGCAAGCCACTGTTATTACCACCACATTAATGAGCTTCTGAGTGCCACTAGCACTGGCTGCTTCGTCTGTTGAGAAGATTACACACTGCTCCTTTTTCGGGATCAGGCCTTTGACGCACACACATGCAATATACTTTGTCTTTGGCACAAGGCCATCAATGGTGATCCGGTTCTTTCCAGCACCTACATTGATCCGACGCATGTCTCTTTCACCAAATATAGCATACAGGACACTGAATTCTGTGGTGTTTGTGGCTGTAGGGGCTCGCCAGTTCAGAGAGACAGTATGGTCAGTGTCACCAATCACTTTCACAGAACGTACCACCCTTTTCTCTGGAGCTTGCTGTAAGGATGAGGCATTGGCGGCTAAGTTGCTCAGAGCATCCCGCTCCAACTCCTCCGTCCTTTGAGGGTCTGTCGCCTTGCCTTGTCCCTGAGAAGCATCGTCAGAGATGCTGTAGCTCTCAATCTCATACTTTCCAGTCACACCTTTGCCATTGACAGGTTCAATGATGGGCTGGGCTGCTGCTGTGGTGGTTGGTGGAGGAACATATCTGGCAATAAGTTTCTCCTGGTATGCCGCTCTTCCAATGCCACCAGTTTTCTTTCCTCTGGTTCTCTTTGAAACACCACCGCCTGCTTCCTCTGACCGAAAGGAATCTGTGATCACCAAAGAGATGATGGCATCTGCAGTGCCCACGAAGTTGGTTGCTTTGCACACGTATTTCCCAGAATCTCGGTAGGAGACTGCAGGCACGCTCAGAATCGACCAAATGATGCCCTCCTTTGAAATCTCTTCCTGAACTGAAAATTAAAAAAAAGGAGGCATCCACAAAGTTAAGCAGATTGACACAGATAGAATAACTTTAATCTCATTGAGACTTGGACAGAAATAGATATGGTTCTAATCTAAGCACATCTGACATGAGTTCAGCCGAACTCACCGGTGCCGTTCATTTTCTTGCCATCAGCGCGGCTCCAGGACAACTCGGGAATGGGGACTCCCACTGTGCCACAGCGTAGCAGGACGTTGTTGCCCAGTGAGCTTCGTACACGAGCCACAGCTGTGTGCACCCGAGGGCCCTGGCACCTCTGCAGCTCCGCTTCAGTGAAAAGAACCCCTGACAAGCTCTCCGGATCAGCGCACCTCAGCCTGGTGTCGATGAGAGCCACGGAGGATGACGGGGACTTCTGAAACTGGACCAGATCGTGCAGCCGGCAGTCACACAGCCACGGGTTGTCATGGAGACCTGCAGAGGAAACCAAGCATGACAAAGTGCTGTCAGTTAAGAGAAAAAAATAAATAAATTCCTACTCTGTACCCTCATGTTACTAACATCCAGTTAATTTTCCTTTACCTAACACGTCATCGTTATTTTAAGTGTGGCTGTGAGTTAAAATAAACAGAATTAGTGTGACAACTTTGACACACAATAACTATAATTAAACTGATCCTAACTCAGCTTTTAATGCTTTTGGTGTCAAAGAAGTGGTCGTCATGCAAGGCAGATTAAAAAGAATACATTCCGGTATCCTAATATGTCACAGCTTGATCCTCACCGAGAATTAGTTTGGAGGAATCAGTATCCTGGGATGGCTTCACACTCAGCCACATTGTGAGAACGTCAGCGGGAACGGTTGTCAGACTGTTGCTGGATAAGTCCAGATAGGTGATGTTCTTTATGTACATGGTGGCATCGGCAGGGATGGTGGAGATCTTGTTGTTGTGTAAGTCGAGGAGCCTCAGGTTTGGCATATCAGTCAGAGACTCCCAGGGGAAGGAGGTGAGGGCGTTTCCGTCCAGCCTGAGCTCATCCAGGTTGTAAAGACCCCGGAAACTGTCGACATTCAGCGAATTCAGTGAATTGAAAGACATCCACAGAAACTCCAGGTTGTTGAGGTAGTGGAAGTTGTCGGTTGAAATCCGTGTGATAGCTGTCTTTTCAATGCGCAGCTTTGATGTGTCAACGGGGAAATTTGGAGGAATCAGAGTGATCTCTGGGTCATTGCAAAGTACACTCCTGCAAGAGAAAATATAAATAAAAATATAAGAATTTTTTTTTTATATATATATATATATATATATATTTAGATTTATGTGACATTTTAGAGGAACATTATTTAAGCTACTTTCAAATTGTAGGGGGTTTGTACAGTGGGTTTAATAACAAACTAAATATATTTTCTGCCTCCATTTTACATATAGATAGAACAATATAGTTCACAATGTATTTGAGAACAACGTAGTAACCTATTGTTCAGTAACAAGAAAAGGAGATTATAGGGCAACTCCAAGTTAATCCTCCACTATACTGAGTGACTGAATAGAATAAAGCTGAAAATATACCTTGCACGCAAGAAAAATAAAAATTAAACACATGCAATGAGAATAAAATTCAAACAATAAAATGTGAATATTTACCTTGCTTTTGATCCATCGCTTAATTTGTGGAAGAAGCAGCTGCATTGTGCAGGACATGAACTGCTCAGCAGAGGAAGAAAAACTAAAGCCAAACAAAAAGCTGCAGTAAAATGTCGACTCATTTTTTCTCCTGCAAACTAATAACCCGCTATGCAGCTAAACTACAATAAAAACAAACAAGCGCTACAGCTCAGTCTAACGGGGCATCGGATGCATCGTGGTGTGCAGGCTCACAGCTCTATACTGCTCCGACTGGTCGGAATCCCGAGATAAAAAGGATAGGCAGGGATTAGTGAAGGACTTGGGTTATTTTCATTCACACGATTAGGCTATTGCTTCCTGGACGCTGATAGGCTGCAT